GCTATGAGTTGCAAATGACTCGACGGCACATAAAAACAACAACAACAATTAAGTTAACTAGGAGAAATACAAACAATTTCCTGTCACACAATTTGTTGTTATGTGCTTTGTAGTTGGAAGTGACCCATAGCTGACCCTTTAATCAGTATTCAGAGGCCATAAATAGCACAATAAGAAAGTGTTCATCTTTCTACTGAGGACTAGGGAGTAGATGAGACCTGTGACTTAGCATTGGCAAAGTAATTCATCACTAAAGCTGCTCAAAAAAGTGCTGGAGGGTCATCTTGAGTTAGTTTTTTTTTTTTTTTTTATCATTAACATTTATTGATGGGATGATCTTGAGTTAGTTTTGACACAGCAGCATATACCATCAACAAAACATATGTATTTAGAGAACTCTGGCAATGTAGTCATGCTGTTGTTAAGTGCCACTGAACTGAATATAACTCATAGCAACCCTATGAACAACAGATTTGAACCCTGTCCTATCCTGCACCATCCTCCTCTTTTCTCACGTACTTGAGTCCATTGCTGTGGTCACTGTGTCAATCCATCTGGCTGAGGGTCTTCCTGTCTCTCACCAACCCTCAACCTTTCCATGCATGATGTCCCTCTCCAAGGAATAACATCTCCTATCATCTCTGCCTCTAAGGAGCACTCTGTCTGGCTGCACTGTCTCCGAGATCTATCTGTTCTTGGCAGTTCATAGGATATTCAGAATTCTTCTCCAGGCATCACAGCTTAAACATATCAATTTGTCTGTCATTTTTATTCACTGTCTAGCTCTCAGATACATAGCAAGTAACTGAAAAGGCCTGGCACAAATAGTCTTCAAACTGTTATCATTGCTCTTTCCCAATGCAATGTCCTAATCTCCTGACTGCTGGTACCAAGGACACTGACTATAGGTTCAAGTACAATCAAACCATTGGCAATTTTAATCATTTCTCCATTTATCACTATGTACCCTATCAGTGGGAATTTTTGTTTTCTGGATATGGAGATCTAATCCATATTGAAGTCTCCTGCAGCAAGCGCTTCAAGTCCTCACTTGCAGCAAAAACGGTTATGTGATCTGCATAATGCAGGCTGAAGACAGGCTAGAAGTATAGTTACACTGCTTTCAAATCCGCCAGCCTGCTCTGTGGGAACAAAATGAGCAATTTTCTCCTGTGTATTTTACAGTCTCCAAAATCTAGCTAGAGGGTAAGCTATGAGTCAGTTCAGAGTTTTGAGTCTTGAGATATGTATTTATCAAAATGAACAGATCTCAAGAACAATGCTGAGGTATAAAGGAATTATTGTTGTGGTGTTGTGTACCGTAGAGTTGGAACCAACCCATAGCTGACCCTCCAGTAGGTTTTCTGAGGCAGTCAATTGCACAGGAGAAGACTGCCCATCTTTCTCCTGCAGAGTGGCTGATGGCCTTGAACCACGTGCCTTCAGGATTAAAGCTTCTTGCCACTAAGCTACTACAGCTTCCTAAAGCAAGTATAACGTGATAATTTTAGTATGATAAGTTGATTTGACACTTAAAATAATGTTTAAGAGTCAGTGGCTCTGTTGCTTATAGAAAAACTTACTCAACTTCTCTGAGCCTGTTTCTTCATCTATAAAATGGGACTAATAACAGTATATAACTCATGGGATTGTTGCAAGGATTAAATACGTTTCTATACAAATGTTGTTATTATGTAGCATTAAGTTGGAGCTAACTTACAAGTGACCCTCCATCAGGTTTTCAAAGGCTGTAAATCACATGGAAGGAGAAAATGTCCACCTTTCTCTATCAGAGCAGCTGGTGGATTTGAAAATCTTGGAGAAAGTGCTACCAGAATATTCCTTATGGGCAAGGACGGCAAAGCCTCAAATCACATACTTTGAGCATGTTGTTCAGAGGGACCAGTCTTTGGAAAAGGACATCATGCTTGGAAATGTGGAAAGTCAGCAAAAGATTGGAAGCCCCTGAGGGACCAACACAATGACTGTAACAATGAGCTCGAGTATATCAGCGATGGTGAGAATGGCACAGCATAGGGCAAAGCTCATATCTGTTGTTCGTAGGGTTGCTGTGAGTTGTACTTGACTTAACGGCACCTAATAACAGCAACCACCTTTGTACTGGCAGCATAACTCCATACCACTAAGCCACCAGCACCACCAATTTGCAAGCAGTGCTAGATAATGAGTAAATGTTTTTTGTTAGTTACTCTACTATGTTGTTTGTAGCGATGAGATTTTATTTATAGATAGGAAACTAAAGACTATTAATATAAGAAGATATTTATCTTAATGTTTATTCAAAAATTCAAACCCTTTACCAGTGAGTCCATGCTGACTCATGGTGACCCTACAGGACAGTGAAGAACTGTCCCATAGGGTTTCCAAGG